TTTCCTAAACATAGACATTAAAGAACATCCTCAATTCGTCTCTAGGAACCCACCTACATTTTGTCAGTCGTTCATGGCTGGTGATCATGACAGCTTTTGTCGTAGAGACTCTCCAAACATGTGCGAGCAGACATTTGGCATGCTCCATGAAGACAGCTTGGTTGAACAATGGAAAATCACCAGTCCTACAGTGTCAACACAAAGTACTCCGGCAATGCTGACCCAGAAACAGCTGGTGGGAAAATTCAGCATGGTGCAGAGGGAGAGAAATGGAACAGTTAGGAAACAAATATTTAAACATGACGCCTTTCAGAATTACCTGCAAGAGCACATCAAGCAACCAGAGCCGTTCTCTGCAGCTGTAAACCTCCCAAACCAATACCAGATCAAGGTGACCCCTAATAGAGGGAACATTGGGAGCATGAACCAGTATTCAAAGCATCACATCCTGCAAAGCCAGATACAGGACAAATTCAAACCACAGATGCAGAGAGAAAAGAAGATGGTACATATGCCTGGCATTTTGGGAGAAGGCTTCTCTACAAGACCCCTAACCAACACAAATACAAGAGATGGAGAAAGGAAACAGGTCTTCCCTCAGAAACCATGGTTTGACTATCAGGGAGGCATTCAATCTCAAAGATTTAATAGAGAGAACAGCATGGTCAGTGCAGGGAATTCAGAGCAGTACATACCTCCAATGTCTCCTCAAAGTGACTTCAGAGGGCACCCCAGCATTCCCTTAAACTTCAGCCTCAGATCCACGCTGTCCAACGGAAGTGCTGTTTCAGGCGAGGATTTCAGGGAAATGATGACCCGCAATGCAGAGAGCACTTATCATGGCAGGGCCTTGGCTGCGACAACTCCAATGGCGATGAATCAAGAAGGACCCGCAATCCAGCTTCTTGCATACCTGGACGAGTGTAACAAGCAGTGGAGGTGTTTAAGCATGGAGAGAAAGATGGTATGTTTGTATTTATTCATTTTTTTCTATTGAACAGTATTTACAATATAGAAATTGAAATATTCAGAAACACCAGAGCTGTCAAACTTCAGCTTTAGGTGTTTTATTTTAACAGTATACATACAAATGTATATTTTATATATTTTGATGCACAATGTATGTTAGACTGAATTTAAAAACTAAAAAGATTATTTTGTCTAGATTTTTGTCATGTTCTCCCTTGTTTTCTATTCCAGACAGAGACCATCCTTGCTAAGATGTTTGTGGGGAAATGGACTGCAGCACTGAACAACACCATCATTCCAAAAACTCCACCAAACCCCACCAGAGTTGACCACCTCATTGTTAAACAGATGACGGAGCACGCAGAGGTGAGCTCCCCTTAATAAATAACTTCTATACTGACATCTACAGGTGAGTTTTTTTCACTGCAGCATTGTTATTTACTTTGTGTCAGGAGTGAACCAAAGAGAATCATTGCCCCACTTAAAATCTTACTGTAGTTTGGACCTTGTTTAAAAAGCTGTTTTATTGAAGTGGTGGGTCGTTATTAAGTAGTGTCCTCAAATCATATATTCGCTTCATATATTTGCTTTAGTTGTACCGTTGTCGTCTTAAAACAATTACATGGGGAATTGTAATGGTTGTTTTTGCTGGTGTTCTGCAGTTGGCCAGCCTTCTGTATAGGATGGAGTATCTGTGTAACATTCCCATCCACATCAACATCCGCACAGCCCTGAACAAGTATCATGAGGCTATTTGCAGCGCCCAGGCAAGACTCAAGCAAATCGCTATCATGTCCAAACCTCAGCAGCAGAGAGCTCACGTCACAGACAGCCAAGGTAAATCGTATTATATTGATCGACATGCATTCTTCTTTACGATATGCTGCCAGTCCTAATTTGCTTCGGTTTCATAGACCTCCTGTTGGTCATCACACTCAAGCACCTAGCTGCCACCACGAGGAAGTTCCGCGCAGCCCTCTGGTGTGTTGTCCAGTTGACGCTGCTGCAACCTGTCAAGAGGCAGGATGACCATGTCAACAAGGAGGCGTCACACAGAAATGGGAACACCTCTCCATTTCAGGGAAACTCCTTCAGGTTTTGACTCAGCAGTGAGTTAAAGGTCCTGATTAAATGAAATCCACCATATTACCATTTATTGGCAGCCAGGTGATGAAATTAATGATTTGTGACAGTTGTGTTCGGAAGTACCTGTGATGTTATTTATCCTGCTGCATCTCAACTTCAGTTATCATTTAAAACTTAGTGTCCGTTCCAAACTAACATGAGTCTTGCTCCTTCGTTGTATTTTAAGGCACTATTTATCTGGAAGATTTCAGTGAATTCTTCTTTGTTTTTACTTGTACTATTTATTATTATCTATTGGCATGTAGTGAGACCTCAGTTC